TTGTTTGTTTGTAGGTGACCAAATACTTATTTTACCGAGGAATTTACCAATTAATTCATTAAAAATCCTACAATGTGATTTCCTGGATTCTTTCCCCCCATTCTGTCTCTCATAGTTGAAGTGTACCTAGGATGAAAATTACAGGCCTCTCTCATCTTTTAAAGTGGGAGAACTTGCACAATTGGTGGCTGACTAAATACTTTTTTGCCCCACTGTATTTCATTCGGCAAGTTTCTTTCGGTAAACATCCAACAACATCCACTCCCTGTTGCCTCACTCCTCTCCTCCATTCTGTTTGATATTTATCCTTCCTCTGATTCGGGTGTTTGTTTCATTTGATCTCCATGCTGGATGAAATTCCCAGCACACACCCTCTCTCACACTCACAGATTTCTCCGGTCTTGTCATTGTGTGATTCGTTCCTAAAAGCTCGCTGTTGCGCTACCAGTGAGGAGTCTTGATGCGAGTTACATATTTTCGTCTTACACCCTCTGCCTCCACATGTGATCAGGCTGTTCTGCTCTGAGGGGACACAAGCAAGGAGCTTTTCAACATTCTTTGTATGTCCCTGGGCCCCCTGAAATATTCATCGCTGTGGAGCTTCTGTGACAGTGTGAGCAGTGGGGCCTGTCAGCTTTGAGCGGCCTACTGGGACGAATGCATTGAAAAGGCAGGAGCGAGGAGACGAGGTTTCTGTTTGACTGGCAGAGGGTGGCACAGGCTATGTGTGAGGCAATCTTATATTTGAGCAAAGAGCTGTTTAAAAAACAGTGGTTTATGAATACATTAGTGGGTTCAGTTACAATTCTGATAAAGTTTTCAACACTCATGCAGCAACTCACCTTCACATCAGGCACCTTCATGCGTGTGCCCTCTTTGCCCACAAAGATGTCGTCTATATCCACCATGACGTAGCGCTCCAGGGACAACGAGAGCCTCTTCCCCGTCAGAAAGGCCACAGCGTCCACGAACACCAGCTTGTGCAACCAGAAGACCAAGTTGTTGCCGAACAGGACCCTCTGGATGCCGTCATGGAGCCCCAGGTCCTGCACCACAGACGGGAGCAGAGCAGCGTTCTGCCCCATTGATGCCACGCTCTCAGCTGATTGGGTCTTGGCCAGCAACACAGGCTCGTATGTTGAGTGGTTGGACTGGAAAACAGTCCAGTCATCCCCGGGGAGGGGACCTGGCAGGGGCTGCCCGGATCGAGTGATGAAGAGCAGGGGGGACTTGGGGTTGACAGTGCAGTCCTTCAGACCCAAGTTGGAGTGAAGGAAGAGGGGGAAGCCTTTCAGCTGTGCACTGAGCAGACTGTTTTCATTGGCCTGATCAACGGAGAGACAAGAGAGAGAAACATATGCATCATACACCACAGTGATGAAGACAGAAATGCATTGGATATAATTCCCAAATTTCTCCAATCATGTGTGAAATAAGGAATGTCAGGCCTATTGGAACGTGAAGGCATCAGGCAGCTTCTACCTGCTACGCTCAATCTGCTGTGCCCAGAGATTGCAGTTAAAATGAATAACCTCCTGCTGTGTCCTCTAACATTCAAAGATTTAGAGTTCAGCGATTATTCATAGAAATGTCTCCTCCATAATGCGCCTTTCTCAGATACTCTCACATCTCTACAGCCACAGATACTTAAGTCTGGCTTCCTCTTATTATCTTACCTCAAAAATGTCACCAGAATGCACGTGTGGGCATCAGAAAGAGGATCATAAAGTTGACATGCATTGTGTGGTGTCAACATCTACACAGATTGGATTTGGAGGCAGATAGAAATATGTGAATATTTGAAAAGATATGAGTGTTTTGATGACACTGGGTTTCTTTCATCTACATTTTTGGCCCCACTGACCCCATTGCTGTATGTGTTCATATTACAATTGTGAAATCAACCAATTTAATTATTTATCTTTGCCTTTGCTTTTCTTCTGACCTTAATTAAACCCAATATGAAGATACATTTGGAGTGCTGGCCTTTCTTTCCAGAAACTGGGCTTGGAGAAAATGATGTTTAAAACATTTTATCAAGCAAATGTTTCATGTTTGTTGTGTTTTATAGCCCATCTTCATTTAACTAAATATACCTTTTGTTTGCCAAAAACAGCACAGTCCGCAATTCACAGAGAAAGACATTTACATAACGTAATCCTTAACAAAGATGTTACGTATGCTAAGTGTCCCTCTTATTAACAAACTGCTGTTAAAAAACAAACAATAACAGAAATACAACTCAATTAGTATTGTGGATAAAGGGCTATCTGTATTTTTGCATAAATTAATCTGTTTCTCTATGTATGTTTTATTATTGAAAGAGAGTACTTGTCGATAGTGGACTTCTGCAGCATGTCATCAGTTCAAAATTATGTTTATAAGCAAGTCTAGGAAAATTAGGAAAGGTGCTGTACCAAGATAATAAGTATTTTAAGTATGGTTTTTGAGTAGTTAAAGAGGGAAAAACACACAGTAAGAGTTAATATAAAAACTTCACATAAACAAATGTTTTTGATATCAATTCTTGTTCTAAAATTTGGTTTAAACGAATTGCGACCCAATATATGTAAGATAAGATAGATCTTGCATTTTGGTAATGCAACACAAATCACTACATATGTTTGTAAAAACCTAAAATCGGGCATACAGTCATCTCTTGGGTTAATATAGCAGAGCAGCGCTGTGTTTCCAGGTCATTGGGATGCACCCCCTCGCTCTACTTCTCCTCTCCCAATAGCGGGTAAATCCCACCAGGCTCTCATTCCTAACCTTCACCTACACCGCCTTACATCACTGCACCACCATCTATTCCTCCATATCTCTATCTATATTCTTTCCATGGCTCAGAGATGGTGATTAAAACTATAAGACCTGAAAATAGGCCTCAGGCAAACAGTCTCAGCTAGGGATAACAGAGAGAGAGAGGAGAGACAGAGTGAGAGAGATACAGAGGAAGGACGAGGTACAGAGAAAGCAGGCTTTAGAGAAACTAAAACAAAGAAGAAAAAACAAGAGACTTGGCAAGAAGAGTAAAGTAGACCAGATAGCAGAATAAAGGAAAACAAGAAATAGATAGAACATCAGAAAGAGTGATATGGACCAGGCAGGTCTTTCCAACCGTGTGAATCCAATCTCCTTAGAGACGCTAGAGCCAGATGGACAGGGCAGAAGGTGTCAGTGAGAGGAGGGAGGGGGAGGAGGGGGGGAGGGAGGGAGGGAGTGTGGTGTTGTCCTAACCTTGAAGAAGCCAATGATGCCCACTCCATATTCCACGCAGTACTTGTCCAGCAGCTCTCGGTTCCAGGCGTCCAAGTTAACATACTTGAGAATGTTCTCATAAATCACCAGAGTGAAACGCCCCCTCTCTTTGTCCGTCAGTGTGGGCATGTCCCCTTTACCGGGGGAGATTTCAGTCCTGTACCTGAAGCGGCCAGACTCCAAGATGGCCACAATCTCCTGACCCAGTTGAGAATACTGGCTTTCCACAAACACCAGAACCACAGGATCTGTCCTGGCCCCTCCAGGATCCGCCCCCGGACCCCCCGGGACGCCCCGCAGAGGAAGTAGGCGCGACGGAGTGACCCTGGGGTCGTCGGAGTCGGCGGAGGCTCCCTCTGCCCCCGACACGCCCCCTCCCGACGGCTCCAACTCCCGCTTGACGCCATAGAGGAAGTAGGCAGAGATGAAGACACTGACGGTGCAGAAGAGGAAGAGGAGGAGGAGGGAGGTCTGCAGAGGGAGGAGACGGACCAGCCGACGGAGGCGTGTCACGCATCCCAGCATCGTCTCACGCCACACCACACCACTCCGCCCCACCAGCCCAGCAACACAGGGACAGTCTATCGCGGTGAGGGTAGAAAACAGCAGGCAGGGGTACCTCACAACAAACTCAGTCTTTCTATTGAGTTAAACACAAACGGCGTCAAGGGAGCAGCTGCAGCAGCTACTGGAGAAAGAAATGAGACGGTCTCACTTTGGCTCTCCCTCATATTGCAGCGCTGCTTATGTCACCATGGCAGAGAAATAGGGGGCCTTGGACCGCTGGTACACACTTGCGCCTTAGAGGGAAGGCTGGCTGGACGAATCACCGGTGGAGAAAGATGATGGAAGACTCCATCACCTGTCCATCATGTGAACCTGCCAACCATGTCCTGGTGAGATTTCCCCCCACTCTTCTGATTGGAGAATGATCTCTTGAGAAAAGCAATGTCATGCAGGTCATCTCAGCAGCAGCATTCCCTTAGGATCGAATCTCATCACCTAGAAAAGAAACAACAAAAAGAAGAAAATGATGTCAAAATGTTAAAGCACAGTTCTATAGAACAAACGACATATTGCTTTCTGTTGTTGTGTGGGTTTAGCTGTGTGTGGGAGATGTGTGTATACTGCCAGTGCCAACGCTCTAAAAGTTCACTTCCAAAGTAGTCCCTGCATTCACCAACACACAGTTAAAGCTGCCAATTTCCCCCCACACACACGCTCATAACCCCTGTGTGCGCAAACAAAACACAAAAAAAACATTCGCTCACGCAGCCTCCACACAATCGATAGGCAGAATGTGAGTGACAACAAAGCCTGAGGGCGAGCCAATTCCCGATTCAGTCCGATAGGAATGTGCGACTGCATACAGGTGAAGCCATCACCCGCGGGGACACTCGCCTTCTATTTCCCTCAAATCCTTAACGGTATCAAGCCGAGAATGGAGAGCAGGAGAAAAGCAAGCATTCGGTAGGGAAGCAATCCAAGAGCAGAGGAGTGGGTGACGGTGACAGAGAGACCTAGCAACAGTAAGATCCTTTACTCCGGGAGAAAACCCCTTATCACACTCAATATACACCCCTACCCACTCTGCAGATCTATCATAATACTCCAGCCTTTTAGTCAATCTCCATCAAGCCGAGTGAGGAAAGAACAAGATGCAGCATGGAAACAGTGTGAGCTTACAAATACATCATTTCTGCATTTAGGGGCTGGTGGAGAAAGGAGACAGAGCTTCATTACCTTTGCATGGTAATGCTCTGTCCATTAAGCCAGAGAGCTACCGAGGTGCACACATTAAACCCTTTATAAAACCTTAGATACCACATTAGAGTAGAGTCACAACCCTCTCAACCCAAAGACATTAAAACTGTGACCACCAAACCCATCAAGACTCATCTGACACAAATCAGACATAAAATAGATTTGATAATGCCATCAAAGGGTTTGTTAGCAACACTATAAACTGAGGTTTGATTAAAAGGCGGCTAACATTAAAAATACAAAAGTGGCCATACTGCGCTCAGTGCAGTGAATCCTAGGAGCTGCAATCATCCATCTGATAGATTTACAATCAATAAATGATTGATTTTTCACGACCTCATTGGAGATAAAGCTCAGATCCTTTCATACACTCCCTATAGATATTCCTTTGATTGAATAATTTATCATTCATATAAACAGAGTACTACTAAATTCAGCTAATATATAGTGTCCCCTTAGATGTAATCAAGGTCAGCATTCTCTCGTGTAGTTCTGCCCCCTCCAGCCTTCCAGCTAAGTTTATCAGGACGCCTTCGATGTCCCTGCAAGAGCTGAGGAAGAAATCACACTTCCATTTCTCTGAGTCGTGTCCAAGTTTCTTCTTTGCAGGGAGGCAGAGTCTAATGTAAAGAGAGGCCGTGAAAAAACAGTGGGCGTTCAGAGAATGTATCGCAGCCAAGCTGACAAAAACCAACAGCCCTGGTCTCTTGAAGATCCCCCCGGTACATTGTTTGTTTGTCTTTTAAAGGGTATCGGGGTTCGTGTCATGGCATATCAAAGTATGATTAGCCACAGGAAGCGACTGCTGCTAGAAACAGTGAAGCAGAAGAGAAGCCAGGGGAGACAACACCCAACAACAGTTCAAGGTCTTTTGAAGAGAAGACTTTTGTTTGCAACAAACATTACAAAAATAATCATTTAAACTCTCATAAAAAAAATTCCTGTCAAAAATAAATTGGCCTCTATGTACCTCAATATTATTAAAATGTTTCCAAGCTACCTGTTTTGTTCAACTAATAGACCAAAACACAATTGAATGAAAAGGTGCATTGTGGATTTTTCCTACAATCAAACAATATTTGTGTTTACTTTAATTGTGTCTTACCAAAACTTGAAAAAACACTTCAAATAAAGAATTGTGATTCTGAACCTACATTTTTAACTTGCTATCGGTCACCTTTTCCATCTCCTTCACTGGTGCATTGCTGCATTTCTTGGCGGACTACCGTCACGTGTACATCATTGGAACGGTGTAAAACCATCACATCCTGATGCGTACCATGATGCCCTTGTGAGACGTGTTGTATATTGATATAGCAAAAATAACTATCAAAAAATGCAATCATTTAAAACAAATCCAGCTCCACTCTTTAGAAAGAAGGTCATCTTAAAGTCCTTTTCTGTTAATGATTCATCTGAATGGATGTTATCTCGGTCTGAAGGGCGACAATGAGCTCTGCCCTGACTCTAAGGACACTGTTGACAAGGCTTGGGAGCAGATTGAATGCCGACACAACACAAACAGCGCAGAGGCACAGAAAACCTCACTTCTTGCCCAATTCGCAGCAGTGATGACCGCCTCCCAATGTTGACCTTCAGACTGAGCCACAGAGAGCTACAACCAAAAGAAGGAAGGCAAAGGGAGAGTGTGAAAGCCTGAGAGGGGGAGTCAGAGACGACGCAAATAGACGGAAAGCTCAAGGCCTGGAGTGTGAAGCTACAGCTTTGAGATTGGGTCAGCTAAATAGAGAATACATTACATTAGACTATAATGGAGATGAGGATATAGCACTGACCAAACAGAATAATGGTTAATGGATCTTAAATGTCTGCACGGCACACCCATATCACCTAATGTGTCTTCTACTTCCTGTGCTATGTATACCTTAGAAGAAGCCAAGATACAACCGCAAACATCTCCGTAATCCTTCCGCCAAAATAATTGATGAAAAGTGTAGAGGAGGAAGAAAAGAGAACATGAATATTTCATGTTTAGCTGATGAGGTTAGCCAGCAGACATATCTCTGAGGTAAAGAGCAGCCGAAAGGTGCGTAGAGACCAGAGTGTGTCAGTCTGCCACAGAGCGTCAGATGGCAGATGGAGACTAATGCGTACCTGATAGCCAACCTTTTTTATTCTCAAAAGATGGAAAGAACAGAGCAATGTAATTCTGCACGTGAACTAAAAGTTTCCCTAAATGGAGATGGCAGAACGACCAATTACAGAAAAAAAAGAACAGCAAAGTGAAAGGAGGATATGAGTGTAAAAGGGAGACAAAAGCAGATTAAAAGGACAAGATGATCGACAACCAAACCTTGAGAAAACAAACTGATTGGTTGGGGAGAAAGGAGCAGGAAACTCACCCCTAAGGCAACCATAAATCTCGAGGCTTTGAAAACATCAATTAAAATCAGTCCCCTCGTTATTTTATAGCAGCTGAAAGATGGTGACAGAAGGAAGTGGCAGCATAAACAATAGCAGGTGACGGCCGAGAGGACAGACTAATGCTTTTCCTCAGGGTGGGTGGTCACTAAAACCTGCTCCCTCTACATCATGGGAAGCAGGCCAGAACCATACGGCTAGATTAATGAGAGACGACGAGGAACAGGGCAGCAGAGGCTCAGCTGTAACAACTCCCTGGATAAACAACGCTAAGGTTGGCCATATGCAGCCTCACACGTCCTGTCCACTCTTCCCCCCGCCCCCCTCCTCCCCCTCTCTGACACTGCTGTTGCACTTCTTTTAAAGTGTGTATAGGACCAAGTGTCCCAGGGCTTGTGAAGAGTGTTAGTACATTAACACTGTCGGCCAGGGTCGGACTAGCCGTGGGTGATCCCTTCGACAAATAAACTTTTAAGAGGAGAGCTGGACCCTCAGAGCCCCTCAGGACATAACAGTATCCCCTTCTCCCCCCCCGCTGCCCCCTGTCTCCGACCCCTCGCCACTGACTGACAGAAATAAACGATGACCCTCTGTGTTCAATCACCACAGGCCTTGGCAACCGCACGCTCCCGTGGAAACGGTGGAGTTACGTTGTGTTCAGAGGCATGGAAGGAAATAGAGGCAGGGCGGTAATCCATGGGACACTCGTCCAAAGGCGACTGTGGTTGTCACTTTTCTGTCTTTGTCTGGTGATAAAAGTGCATGTACCACAGCGGCTCGATCAGAGTGGGGACACACCCGAGAGACTCATTAAGAGAATCAAAATTGTCCCTCTATAAAGCATGTGTGTTTTGTTCGTCTTTTATTCCTGAGCAAATATTAGTGAGCTTTTGTGCAAACACTCAGGCTTCACAAAGGACAAAAACAACTTTGATCTGGCCGTTTGAATTGTACATGGGTCAAGGTTAAGAATTGGTCAAAAAGACACCAATGTAATCCCCAATCGGTAATCCTGTTCATCTCGACACCGCAAATGGCACCACATGTGAAACTTGTAATCCAAATCCTTGCTAGTCTTTGCCACACAGCAAACAAAGGGCTCAAATGCAAAACCGCAAATCAGTCGAGTCAACTTTTGGTCATGTCTTTAAAAACCCTTAAAAACAGCTTGCATCTGAGAAAACACCCTAAATTCAGGCAAAACCATCAGAAAGCAGTCAAACCAAATCTATTAAGATTCAAATTCAGCTGAAGCAGTCACCTCTGTTACTGTGTGAGATGCCTTGAAGGGATTAAGAAAAGAGACACAATAGAGTGATGAAGGCGGGGATTGAACATTGTATTGAGAGTGATCAGAATTTGATGTTATCTTTACTCCTCGCTGTGTCGGAAAAAGGGTGCATGAGTTACTCACCCGTAATAAACAGCTACAAGACCACTGTGCAGAATTCTGCACCACAAGCAGCGAGAAGCAAACCTAAAGCGAATTTCTGTATTTGCATTCAGCCTCCTACCCTTTCTGGCGAGAGATTAAACTTCAAAAAGCACAGTTTTTCATATTTCTTTTGAAGCACATCTAAAGCAACAAACAAGCACCCAGGAGGAGCAGGGACTCGCCTTCTTAAAGAGGTTACATCTTCAAAGCCACAGCCACAGGTTTTTCTTCCTTTCCTTAAGCCAGCCTTGGCATTCATCAATATAGAATCAATCAATCTGAAATTTGAATTTCATTTATGCATTCATTGTGTTGACTGCGATTAAAGGCTTAGACCGTGAAATAGTGTGGAACGCGTCACCGTATTTTCACTCCAGCTTGAGCCTCCCACCCTACAGCCAGCCTGAATGCACAAGCAGGC